ACAGCTCTGCTGGAGCAGAGACGCCATGCTCAACTCTCCCAGGATGGACAGAGGCTAGAATCTTCCCGGTAAGCGCACCTTGGGGTGCTTACACAGATCATTAGAAATGGGCTAGTCCAGATGCGAGAATTAGCCTGTAAGGGCTAGAGTTCAGGGGCCAAGCAGTTCTTAAATGAATACAGTTTGTGTGTTGTTATTTCGGGCATGAGCTAGCCAAGCGGCCGGGGTGTTGGGGACACAGCCCCGCCGGCCGCTCTTATTTCAACAGTAGTCTTTCATTGGTGACTTGTGACACTGTGAGGTAACAAGAGTAGTTTCTTAAGTAAACTACATGATTCCCAAAGCTGTCCATAACAGGGACAGAAAGATGTTGGACTACCTCCCATGGTAAATGAACCACTGGCATGGGATAGATAATACATTCTGTTAAAGTGCAGGGGAGTCACGAAAAGCTACCTGGGCAGGTAGAAAGGCTATTCTACATTTAGGGGCAAAGTTCAGGGAAAACCTGGGGTGATAACTGTCACAATGAGAAGGGAGCTAGGGTGGATTTAGCATGAAAAATCCAGTATATCAGCAGAATACGGCTATGCAAACCTGGATCAGTGAGAAGAGGACTGGGGACTGTTAAAGGAAAGGTTACCATTCACAGGAGATCTAATAAAATGTGTACAGTGTTTACCCCAGTCCTAACAGATGAAGAGAAATGAAAGAGCAACAAGCAAAACTGGAGCATTTCACAGGCAAAAGGAATCATCTACTGCCTCATTATCCAATCTTAAAGTGAAAACTGAGGCAAAAATAAAACAAGAAATAAAAGCCCATTTATCCCTTATGTAGAAGGAACTGGTTATGGAGTTCAGGGTAAGGCACACCTTGTAGATACTGCAAAATTATCCATGATAAACACTTCCTAGAAAGAAGAATGGCCAGATCTTTTCAATATTTCTTCATGGGAATTATTTTAGTTGATCAGAGTAGGAGTCTTGTCTAAAAGAAAGCAATACAACATGGATGCAGAGCCCAGAAGACCCTAGATTCTCTGTAGCAACCTTTTAGTGGTGACTATAAATCTACTTGCTGAAGAGAAGGCTGAACAGTTGAGAAACATTTCTGCTCTTTCGCAGATCTGAGTTCAGTTCCCAGTGCCCGCATTGTACAACTGCCTGGAACGGTTGCTCCAGGGCATCTTCTTCTGGCCTCCGTTTCGTGGACCTCTGCATGCCTGTGCACATAAACATGCAGAGACACATATGCATAAATTCATTCTAAAATAAACCTTAAAATCTATTAAGTAATATTCTTATTGAATTTTAAGATGTGTTTATTCTTATCACAGTCACACAACATAATCTGAAATCTGGCAATCACTGTATTAGAGTGTAAATAAAAGTTAAACTTATTCAGGCATATTTTGTGAGGGAATAAAAATGAATGACAGTTTGTAACCCCATTTATGATCTCAATTCAGAAGTTGTATGATCAAAGCATTAACATTGTATTCCACTTACCATGGTTTTGAAAGATCTGAAAACTAATTAGTCTTTGAAGTAACGTCTACACGGAGTCTCTGCTCCCCTTTCCCCTTATGAGACCAGCACTGCTGCTTTCTTGTCTACTTTTCTACCCTCAAAGAGCTATTTTTCGCTAGATGACAGACCACTCTACATGCTGGTCTGCGTTTTCAGGGTTCTCCCCTGGATACTAGTTTATAAGGATAGTCTATATAATAATGATGTTTATTAAATTCTATAAAATGTTACCTTTGCAGCAGATACTGTTACAAAGCCCCCTCCCCCACAGCAATGCAAGACTAAATCCATAGTTTACATTTGAGGGTGCTAAAGCTCCAAGAGTTAAAGTGCTGTAGTCAAAGGTGGCCCTGTTGTTAGGGTTTTGGGGCGAGTCTAGAAATAGCAGATGACTCATCCTCTTTTTTGTGCACATGGAGGCTGTTACTCAGGATGAAACAAGTACCGTGTACATTCTAAGCTTGTGCTTTAACTGCTGAACAATGCCGGCAGCATGATCCATTTTCTGGTGGTTCTATCATATGATAAAACTTAAGTCTCCTGCTAATTGGAATCACACTGATTCAAAATTTTAGGGCTTATAAACAACACTATAGGGTATGCTTAAAAACATTCTGAGAATGAATGTATCTGTGAGATAAGTTTACAAATGTTGAACTTTGAAGTCAAAGAGTGTATTGGTTTTAATTTTGATACACAGTGCCAACTTGGTCTCTGCATAATATTTGTCAAAATGTTTCATCTTTGGGCTTCCTTTAATTGCCAGTGACCTACTGATTCCCTCTCTGTAAAAATGTATTTTTTGGCCCTGTCAATACCACAGTCCCTGAATAGCGAGTAGAACCATTATTAGATATACTTTAAGATTGGGTCTGGAAGATCGATTAACAAAAGACAGGAGTATGCTTTAGACCCTGAATTAGATGTTTAGTTTTTAGTCATCCTTGAGGAATATGGTGCCTATATCACATGTAAGGGAAGACAAACAAACAGATAGGATGGTAACCGATTCCAAAATATTCAATACAACAGCACACTGGTGGTCACAAAAAAAAAAAAAAGACATTTCTCCCCACCCCCACAGAAGCAATCATGTGGTGAATTTTCCAGTAGGTACCAGCTGGGTGTCCTTAACACATTAAGTTCCTTAACTATCTACCCAGCAATTGGGTTAGAGTTCACAGACTGAGGACTCAGTTCTAGTTGGTTGACTGCTTCGGAGCTGGAAAGAAGGTTGTAAGGACAGATTGGGATCTATGTCTTTAATCCATGTGCTTTAAATCCTAAGAACCCCTCTTTGTGTCACACTCATTTGCAAGAGTATCTCACACAAATCAAGAAAACACTTCATTATATTCACACATTTATTTAAAAGTATTGCGGATGATGCAGAAAAACAGGCAGTTGGAAAAGTCTGGAGAAAGGCATGTGGGCAGGGTGGTGTCTTCCTCTTGCTGGGAAACACTGTACTTCCCACGTCTATTCACAGTTCATCTCTTTAGAAACTCCGTAAGCCTGCTTCTTTGTTTCTCTTGCTTCGTTTCTTGGACATGACTAACTGCATCTCTACTCACTGGTGAGCATCTAAATTTTCAGTTTCTCTCCCACAGATGCTGGGAGACCCTCATTCTCAAGTCTCTAAAGCCATGGTTTTGTTGTAACCAGTCCTAGTTAGGATGCTGCTGCCAAGGTCTGCTTCCATCTTGAGATATAGTTTGACCCTCCTATCACAAGTGTAGTGTCTCCCGTTTGTCTGGATGACCAAATCTGTAAATACCCATTCCCAGGTAGATGTTTTCTGGTAAGAAATGATTTGCTAGTATTTTCAGTCCAGGCTCTCTCATTATAGGTGAATTTTCATTTGTACAAGTTGTAGACTTTGATGGTTGATGTCTTGTCCTTTTGGCATTTTTTCTATTGTTCCCAGGTAAAAAAAAAATATTTATCTCTTTAATGGCATTAATCTCTTCAACATTTATATTGTTTTTATCTCAAGTGCTGTTTCTACAAATTTGAATTCACTCAAAATCATTTCTTCTCTGACCTTTTCCCTCACACTGCTTTGATCTACTTTCTACTTTTTCACGGGGGAACAGGAATAAAGAGCAGTCTGTGTCTGAATGTTATCTTCTGCCAAACAAATTATTCCATTACTTTTTTTTGAAAAAAAATTTTTTCCACACAATATATTCTGACCAAGGTTTTTCCTGCCTCATCTCCTTCCAGATCCTCCTCACCTTTCCATTCTTTCAGCTCCACACCTCTTTTCTCTCTACCTTTAGAAAATAAGCAAGCAAGCAAAAAACTAAATAAACCACAATGGAACAAATAAAGCACAGAGAAAACAGCAAAAAACAAAGAAAAATCAGAAGAACATACCCATGCAGACACACACAGTGACACAGGAGGCTAGTCATTGCTTTGAACACTCAGCCCCACCCATGTTCTCAGAACACGATGAGAAGGTTTCAGATTCTTTGCCAAATTATAACAGGAGTATCTTCTAGTCCAGTTCTCACTAGAGGTCCCGTTCTCTAACAGCTCATGAGCCTGTCTTCTACTATGCACATTTCTCTCTCAGCATCCTTTTTTTCTTTTCTTTTTTCTTTTTTCTTTTTTTTTTTTTTTTTTTTTTTTTTTTTTTTTTTTTTTTTTTTTTTTTTTTTTTTTTTTTTTTTTTGAGACGGTTTCTCTGTATTCCCTATAGCTTTGGAGCCTGTCCTGTAAGATCAGGCTAGCCTTGAACTCCAGAGATCCACCTGCCTTTGCCTCCCAAGTGCTGGGAGTAAAGGCGAGCGCCACCACTGCCCGGTTCTTCTCTCCACATTTTTATCCTGCAAACCTCACAGCAAACCCATCAGTTCTTAGGGCATTCTAGAGCATCTGCACCCCGCAGCCCCAAACTTATCCATACCTCTTCCAAAATCCAGTCCCAAAGGACTATTCCCATGTGGTCAGGTTCATCACAGTGAGAGATCTATTTCTTGGTACCGATTTTCTGTACTAGTTTTTTTTCAAGTTGCTATGATAAAATACCAGGCAGAGCCGACTTTTAAAAGGGTCTGTTTTGGGTCATGTTTTGAAGCACAGTTCGTCATGTTGGGGAAGCCTGAAGAGACTGGTCCCACCAAAAGTGCAGGCAGAAAACAGACGGATAAGTGACAATGTATCACCCATTTTTTTTTTCCTTTTTGTTCAGCCTTGGCTCTCAGCCCATGAGATGAACATTTAGAGCACGTCTTTCCATGTGAGTTAGCGTTCTCTGAAAACACCCTCAGAGTAAACACTCAGAGATTTGCCTCCTAAGTGATTTCAAACTTCACACAATTGACATTTGAGTTAAACTAACATAGAATGTAAACACTCATTTAACAGACTTTTCCTGTTGCGCTGTTGTTTCACACACAACATGAAGATTTCTCATGTTCTCATCTCACTGTTGGTTTTCATGTTTCTCTTCAAGGTGTGGGACTTTAATGGCTATTGTCACCACAGCCTAAATGCTGGGCAAGATGGAGTTGTGGACATTTCGCAGATCCTGGTTCTTAAGAAGTCTATCCTGGTTGTGGGATGGGAGAGGTATGATATTCTTACGTAAAATATCAGAAGTGAAAATGAGGATGTTCTTATTTGAATCAAAATATAAACGGAGACGAAAGAAGTCTCATTTGTTTCTGAGTCATTAACTTGGTAGTCTCGGTAGGTGAGTTGGAGCTGACTGGGTGCTTTGTGAATAAAATACTGCAAGATTTTTCATCTCGGTGACTAGGGCAGCCATTTGGGGCTTTCCTTTGGGTTTGGAAATCTGAGTATTATTTTAAAAGTTCCAGATAAATATGTATTATCATTTCATGAGTTTCCAAGTCTCTCCCATATTGTAAAGTCAGTAACTCTTACTGTTGTAATCGCCTCCTCAATTGCACAGGAAATCTTTTCTTTTTCTTTTGATACATTTTCATACCCTGCATCTCCAAAGAATCCATGTATCTTCCGCAAACCAATTCTAAAGGCCTGTGAACAACAGGTTAGGTTCATCACCGTAGGAGCCCTGTTCTTTGCTATAGTAGAGAAACTGACCCCTCTGCCAGCACCGTCTCCGAGCACTGGGGAAACGCACCTCATCCACCATGCTGTGCCTTCCACAGGTGCACCTCTTTCCCGCCATTATTAGGAAAATTATTTTTGTTTTCTTTACTTTTCTTGAGAGAAAAAAGGGATCATGGATTCAAAGCACGTTTCTATGCCATTGCATAAACACCAGGAAAATTAAGTGTTTTAAGAATTTCTCACTTAGAATTTTGATACTTCATAAAACATTGCTGTATTAGGTAACTTGCCTGATATTGTTTGTTACATAATTGTAACTTTTATGGATGGCCTGAAAGTAGGCTCACGACATTTTTAAATCAGTAGTGAATATTGGGTGATTTTCCTCAATCATAGAACAGACATTTTTTTTTCAATCCTAAAACAATTATATGTGGACTGTTTTCAAAAGGAGTTTGATGAGAAAGGAAACCTAGTTCAGATCATTCCACTTGATATTAAAGACCAATTTAATCATCCTTAGCTGGAAAAACAAGGCTTTTTCGCAGGCCTGGTATCAATCTTTATTCATTACCAAGTTACAACTCTTCAGCGGGCTGGGGCTCAGAGGTTTACAGCTAGACCATGGTTATGACTAAATTGAAGTCTCTAATCCCATGGAAGGGTGAGGCTATGGTATCCAGTTGATCCAGTTTACATTCCACGAACAGAAAAAAAATGAATTAAAACAAAATTCACAGACAGCATTCCTTTGCATTTTTAGATAGTCATAGTTAAAAATTAGCCTCAAAGTTAGGATTTATGATTGCTTTAAAACAAAATTTAAAGTGTTTAATATGTCAAGTTATTGAAAAGTGGCCTAAAGAAACATTTTGTGCTTTGGTATATGTTGGTGAGATGTTCAGTACTTACTACAACTAAGAGAAGATTTAGGAAGAGTAAAATGAAAGAAAATTAGATTATTCTTTGTCTCCGTTTTTTCTCAGCATTGTCAGACTTGGGTCATTTATCTGTAGAATGCATTAAAGAATTATCAGTTGTATTATCCAATATTTATAGATATGGATTTCAAAATTCTGTTTCCTTAGAAACATTTCATTAGGACAGAGCTTTCATAAACCAGATAGGGTCCTTTCTAACTAGTAGGCTTTTAGCTCATAAAGTCAGACAACAACTGCTTGGTTATAGCTGAGAAAATATGGCCTTGAAACCACTCAGCATGGCTCAGTGATTAAAGAAGAAAAAGTAAAGATTGTCAATCATCTTATCAAGCTTTCTGTAAAATCCAGAGAGAGCCTCTCAGGTTAAGCTGAAGCTTTAAACTTCAGGCTCTGTCTAGATATAGAAATTGGTTTGATAATTACGCTCAGGATAGAGTAGAAATTGCTTTGATTGAATAAGGTACCCAAATACACTTGCTGGCTTATTTTGTTCATGGTGCTGTAAAGCAGTGGGTATTTTACATACATTATCTAATTTAATCTTTGCCTTCATCTTGGTAGGCAGGCAGTGTCTTATAGAAGCCCCAAATCTCTGCCTTGAGCTGTTACCTCTAAGCTCCCTCATCTACGTTCCTACTAGATGTCTCTCACTGAAACCCAAGATTCATTGTGTTCTAAACTGAACGCATTGTTTAGTCCTTTCTCTGACACCACTTGCCTATCGGATTTTGAGCTTTGCTTCATGGCCACAGGCATAGACCGTCACCATTTTTATTGATTTTTCCTCCAATGCACAACCCAGCTGTCCTAAGTTTTATTCATTTTATATCCTAAGTTTTGGACACCTGCACCTGTGAGTACTATAGCTGCATTCTTTAGAGCACCATGTCTGTGTGAATGAAGGCTCTAGCACTTTAATTTGCCCCTTTCTGCTCATTTCCCGGTCTAAGCTTAATGAGATCATCTACCCACCTTCAGGTCTTCATTTTTTCGACTATATCTAGAAATTCCTGTCCTGTTTGTAAAATGGTGTTGATATTTGTTTCTATTTCAATACTTTAATGTTCTTTTTCACAACTAGAATGGAGGAAATATGTGTTCCTCTTGTCTTTGTGCACATTATTCTTTTGTTCTTTGTTGAACCGAGGAATATTTATTACTAAGTTTTGTGTATAGTATTCATAAAATTATATGCACTCTATTAGCTATATATTCTAATATCTGCTAAATTAAAGAGATACTCTTATGGTATATATGTGATATTTCTAATATATATATATAAATGATGAGTCTAATATATATACAATATTCTGAATAAATTTAAATGGTATGTCTAATTCTAATCACACATATATACAAACATACTTACTGAATGAGACAAATCATTGCTTGTAAACAACAATAAATATAGACGTTAAAATTTACTCTGTCTTTAGAACCAGGGGATAAAATGTTACCTTTCTTCTGTATGGGGGAAAATTAAGGCTTGAAGAGGTCATCAGACAAGGCAAGGTTACAAACTTGGTAGGTAGCTGAACCTATCCCATAGTCTATGTTCTTTACTTCACTCTTAAAGTATTGGCAAATGGAACAATAAAACCATGGTGAGGCACCACCATATGCACTCATACATTCATATGCATTACAGCTAATGACTGAGAAGTTGTTTGTTTCAAGCAAAGCTAATACAACAGTTTCACACATATGAAGAAACACACAATATTGTTATCAACTTAACAACACTGAAATTTAGTCAGATATATTTTCGCTTTTCCTTCCCATAATATCTTAAAAGCTATGCCCAAATGGAAGCAGCTAAGTTAGGAAATAGAGCATGTTAATTGTGAAAAACCATGATCCCTACTGTCACCAATTCCTATCTGATGAGGAAATTTATGAAACACAAGGCTGGGAAGGGCAAATACTATTGTAAATACAGTCACAAACAAAGGAATTTAAGAGGTCATGGTCTTCAAGAACCCAATAATTCATACCTGCCTATCATAATGAAAAAAAACAATAAAAATTGATAGCATTACATTTTAAGTAAAATAGACTTGAAACAAAATGAACTGACAAGAAGTCATTGGATCACTGGTCATATTAAAAGGGGAAACTTCAGTGAATGGGTGACTAGTTAGTTGTGTTTGCATTTGTTCAGTCTAAAAATGTGATCTGTACAGAGAGTCAAATCATCTGAATACAATGGTTCAAGATTTCAAATTGCCCTGAACCTATTTTCTTATGTACTTACAATGCATTAAAAATAGACACTTTCCTCTCTTCTATTTGTGTAGAGGGGAATCTGTGTCCTTTTTGTCAGCTGTACATAGGTATAATCAACAAATAAAAACAGTTAATACTAATATTTGAAGTATACAGGCAAATCTTCGATATTTGTACAGACTGTGAAATAGTAACAATGAATTAGTATAACTATCACCTTATACATATCTGCTCACATATCTGAACTTTTGTTTATGAAAATTTTATCACCTTAAAATTTATACTTGTACAAATATAAAAAGTAAATCTTGCATACTATTTAAAATAATTCTGAAAATATTATTGATAGCCCATACTTTATACAGTCCACTATAAAAATATGTGCTTACTAAATAGTTATTTATATAATTTGATCATCCCCATTTTCTCCCAAATCTCATCTCAGTCTTCCAATTCCATATATATATATATATATATATATATATATATATGAT